TATTTCCATAAAGGGAAGAAGCTTGGACTCTCCGGTCCAAGTGCCCCTTCTCACTTTTGGGTGAAGGAAGGAGCAGGATATCTATTTATTTATTTATTTATTTATTTATTTGATTTGTCAATTGTTTACAAGATAATAAGTACAAGTGTATACATGGTTGTGAATATATGAAATAGGTACATATAAGAAAAATAAAAGAATAAGAGAAACAATAGGACAGGGACGGTAGGCACGTTGGTGCGCTTATGCACGCCCCCTACAGACCTCTTAGGAAAGGGGTGAGGTCAATAGTAGACAGTCTCAGGTTAAAGTTTTTGGGGTTTGGGGAAGAGACTACAGAGTCGGGTAGAGTATTCCAGACATTGACCACTCTATTGCTGAAGTCGTATTTCCTGCAATCAAGTTTGGTGCGGTTTACTTTGAGTTTGTATCTGTTGTGTGCTCTTGTGTTGTTATGGTTAAAGCTGAAGTATTCATTGACAGGTAGGACATTGCAATGTATGATTTTATATACCATGCTTAAGTCGGATCGAAGACGGCGTAATTCGAGGTTTTCTAGTTTTAGAATTTCGAGTCTGGTGGCATAAGGTATTCTACAACGGGTAGAAGAGTGGAGAACTCTTCTTGTGAAATACTTCTGGACTTTCTCAATTGTATTAATATCACATACGTGATAAGGATTCCAGACTGATGAACTGTATTCGAGTATTGGTCTAGCAAATGTTTTGTATGCTCTGGTTAGTAGTGAGACATTACCAGAGAAAAAGCAACGTAGGATTAGGTTAACAACTCTTAATGCCTTTTTGGCTATGTAGTTGCAGTGGGCTCTAGCACTTAGATCATTAGAGGTGAGTATTCCCAGGTCCTTTACAGAGCTTGGGTCATCAACAAGATCTTGACTATTCAGCTTGTATTTTATTTTCTGATTTTTTTTTGCCAATATGTAAGACAGAGCATTTATTTGTTGAGATTTGAAGTTGCCATATGTTAGACCATTCAGATACATAGTCTAGATCTTTTTGTAGGGTAGTAGTATTGTCTGTGGTATTGAACAGCTTTACATCATCAGCGAAGAGAACGCAATTGCTCTTGATATGATCGCAAAGGTCGTTTATGTAGATTATGAAGAGAGTTGGTCCTAGAACACTGCCTTGGGGAACACCACTATTGACAGGTACTGGATTTGATAGGGCGTTCCCAATTTTGACCATTTGTTGTCTGTTTGACAGGAATGCTTCTATCCAGTTATTCAGTTGTCCAGAGATACCATAAGATTTTATTTTTAGGAGTAGTTTGTCGTGTACCACTGAATCAAAGGCTTTGCAGAAGTCTATGTAGATTGCGTCTATTGCTTTGCCCTGGTCATTGATCTGACATAGGAAACGTTGCCAGGTACTCCTTGTTTATTCCCACAACCCCCAAATTCTGCTGCTGTTCTCTGACAAATTAGTCTCATTGCCCTCAACTCTTTCCCCAATTGCCCTTTGAAACTTCTGGTCACCAACCAGCAGCAGACTGGATTGTTGTACTCCCTAGCCATCATTTGGCTGGTGTGTTCAGCCTATCCTTTTCCTCAGATGGTTTGTGTGAATGGGGAGAGGAAATGGAACTGAGCCATGGATTTTTGGATCTTCCTTGAATGATGGAGTGGACTGAAGCTAGGTGATGGTTCCAGAGATTAGCCGATGTAATTCTGTTTTTTTTGCCTTGGATCCGTAGGTTACCAGTTGCCGCCCCCATGAAATGGAGATTGAATTAATAGTGGAATTGAAGTTTCAGTTCAGGATTTTGAGGTGAATTTGTGTGAAGAAGAAGGTGAAGAAAACACTCAATTACAAAAGAGAAGAGAATATCCATTTGTCTTGCTTATTCTGTCTGTCTTTTACAGTCATGTTTTTAGTGGGTTGAGCTATAGTTTCTTTTTGCGTGAAGACGGATGCAAAGAATGAGTTAAGCAGTTCTGCTTTCTCTCTATTGCCTGTTACTTCCTTGCCATCTTCTCTCTTTAGTGGACCGACTGTTTCCTTGATTTTTTTCTTGTTATTTATATGTTGGAAGAAACTTTGTTTTTATTATCTTTGACTTTTGTTGCAAGTCTTTGTTTGTTCTGAGCCTTTGCTATCCTGACTTCGTCTTTGCAGATTCTGGCTATCTGCTGATATTCTGCCTTGGTTGTATGTCCTTCTTTCCATTTTTTGTACTTGTCCTTTTTTTGCCAGAGAGATCTTTGTGCAGCCATGCTGGTTTCTTGTTGGATTTCTTGTTTTTCTTTCTCAGTGGTATTGTGCTGGTCTGGGCTTCTATGATAATACTTTTAGAGTACTGAGAAAGACAGCTGTAAAACAAGTATTACACTGAACTAAGCCGATCATTTTGAAATAAAATAAAATCACAATCTCAAGCGCACTTACCCTAAATGTATTATTGGTATTCTTGGTTTATAGTTATACAATTTGCACGCTATCTTTCTCTTTTTTACTCATCCTCTGCTTCCTTCACAAGCAGCCAGCAGCTCCTCCCACAACCTGTGGGAATTTGAAATGCAATCTTTATTGTAGTTACTAAAATCTATCTGTTGCTGCATTTTTAACTCATAGGACACCATGCATGATAAGGTTTGTCTTTCTTGGGATCATGTGGGACCACAAAACTTTCATTAATTACACAGAACTAACAATGCAATTGTTATTCATGTCAATTTTCAATTATTATATCAGAATTTCCATATATACTCTTGGGAATATGGAAGTAATTAATAATTGCCTCCTTCTCAGAAGTTCTTAGAAGTTCCAACCTATCTTTTATTTCTTGATAGGCTCCCAACCAAATACTAACAGGTGTGAGCTTTCTGTGGTAACCAAGGTGAGCTAGGCAGTGCTACCTGATGACATCACACCTGGAAAATTTACTAGTACTAAGAAATCAAAAAACTCATGCAGGTTTTTAGTGAGAATAACATAAACATTTGTTGAATGGGATAACATTTCTAGAAACATAATATCATTCCTGATATAACAATGAACATTTAGGACTAGGCATGACAGGATAGCAGCTGCCACAAAGAAGAGGGGACTGCTACAAAGAAGAGTGTGGTCAACCGATTCTTTCAAACACCTGGAGACAGGACAAGAAGCAATGGATAGAAATTAATCAAAGAGAGAGCCAATCAAGAAATAAGGAGAAATTTCCTGACCGAACAATTAACCAGTAAAGTAGCTTTGCTTCAAGAAGTTGTGGGTGCTCCATCATTGGAGTTTTTCAAGAAGAGATTGGATAGTTATTTGTCTGAACTAGTATAGGACAGGGCTGTCACGCTCTTGGCTTGCTGGCTGGATGCATCACGCACTGGCCACTCCTGGTTTAGCAAAGGGAGGGGGAAGTCCCGATACATCACGTGATACCACCGTGATGTTTGACACCCCTAGTATCCTACTTGAGCAGGGGGGGGTTGGACTGGAAGACCCTTCCAACCAGTGGTGGGTTTCAAAGTGGTTTACCACTTATTTGGTGGGCGTGACTTGGTGGGCATGCTTTGCGCACACGCACACACTTCGCGCATGCACAGAGGCTTTCCTACTCACCTACTGCACTCCTGCACTCTCCCTGTGTCTTCAACAACTGACGCGCGGCGACCTGCTCTGCCGCACAAAGCAGCTGCACTTCAAAAGCAGGAAATAAAGGTCAGTATTGGAACCCAGGCAGGTGGGTGGGCCCAACAGCAGCTCACCTGAGAGAACCAGTTTGGCCTTTGCTGATCTTTGGAGCTACTGACTCACCAGAACCAGGCCAAACAGTAACATCCCATCTCTGCTTCCAACTCGGTAATTTTATTATCTTCAGATCCCACATCTCAATATTAACCTTGACTATTATGCCATAACTCATGTCATGTTCATTTAATTTCTAAAACAGTTGGTATAATTTCTTCCACATCTTCCAGTCTGGGAATGCTGTGTTCTGTTCCACTGTGATAACGCGCAATAGCCTACAATGAAAGCTCCATGATGTTACAGCATTATAGAGATGATTATGACATACAATATAGCAACGCCATTTTAACTGGATATTCATATTCATATGAGTGATGTCTTCCTTACTAGATAATATTGGATATTGTCATGTCACACATAGTCACAGAAAAGTGTGGAGGACCACACAGGGGTGAATTTACTTTGATTCTTTAAATATTTATATTTCTGAAAATTATAATGCAAACTACAGATTCAGTAATAATTAGAACAAATGTGCTAGGAAGATCAGCAGAGTTTTCCTTTCACTGCTTGGGTGCAAGAGTGAAAGTGATTTCAAAACCTACTGTACAGTTTATCAGCCCCAATGATTGGTTTCATTTGGTCTGTTTTTTTGCTCTACAAAGGTCTTGTGCCAAACACTATTGAAGCTGGAACTGTTATGGACATTCGTAAGCCCTACAAGCAGCAACTAATGATTTTTTTTTAAAAAAAAACAAACCCATTTCTCGGAAAGAGCTGCAAACTGCCATCTGGTGTCTGAGGTGGCACAATCCACCCACATTACTGCTGAGTAGTACCTTGCAAGGTAGAACTAGCGCCTGCCTTAACCGCATGTGTAAGACACTTCGCTTTTAGCTATTTTGTCATTCTTTTTCACCGACAAACTTTCCTATTATTCTGGCGCTAAGCAGCGCTAGGAGGCTGCCTCGCCGCCTCCTTTTAATGCCTTTTCCCCCTCGTTAATTTCTGCTTCTCGGCTCCCACCGGCAATATGGAGAAAGGACGTCCGACAACCTGACTCATTGAGGCCCCGCAAGCGCCTCTCAACACCTGGCTCTTGGAGTCCTTAGGCACCTGCAGGCACTCCATGGCTGCGGGAACAGCTTAGGGCGTTGCCGCCGCTTGCAAATTCCGTGCTGGATTTCCACCGGGGTTACTGGGACTGTGAGCGGCCCCGAAGGACAAGCGACCGAGTAGCCGAACCTCTCTTTTCCTTCGCTTTTTCCAAAGCTCCCCCCGCCTACTTCTAGAACGGTTTGTCGAAGACGCCAGCTTGCTGCTGCTGCGTGGCTGTTGATCAACTGATCATGAAGGAATCGGGAGAGGAAGGAAAACCTAGGAGCAAATCGCATCTTCCCGTTCGCTCCTGCTCTGGAATCTGGAGCTCCGGACTAGGGGATCAGGTGAGGCGGCTAGGGACGCAGATTCTCCAGAAAATCGCTGCGCGACGAGAAAAAGGGGACTGGGACACGGCGACCCTCCCATCTTCAACCTTCCTCTCCCGGCCCGATTTCTAATTAGACGTCCCTTGTGCACGTGTTAGCCAATCGCCAGTTTTCAAAAGGCAGCATCCCCACAGCGACTTCTAATAACATCTTCTAGACTCACCCAGCCCTCTTTGAAGCGATGTAGAGCTACATACAACGTTGCTGATTTATCTCTGCAAGGAGAGCCGGGTGACTCTAGAAGACGACCCCACTGCACTAAATGAGGCTGGCAGTAAGCAGATCAAGGGAGGGAAAGGAGCGGCGGGCGGGAGGATGGCAGTGTGTGGGGGAGAGGAGGGGAGAGGATCGCACGTGACGACGCTTACGCGAGCGTGTTTTACCTGCCCACTTTTTAATATCTTTGGTTCTGTTGGAAGTGGGGAAGGGATCTTGAGGCTGGTGTGTGGTGAACCTCTCGCCTCTCGGATTGTTTGTTTCTGAAGAATGGTAATGTGGTGGCGATAGACGTAGTGTGAATTTTATGTTGTTATTTGAATGTTCTTGTCTCCCTCCCTCCCCCACACCTGAAGCGGCAGCTGTCTGTAAAAGTAGACCTGCCAAGCCATAAACGAGTAGACTACTATAAATGTCAGAGCAAGACTGACTGACGCTCTCTCTCTCTCTCTCTCTCTGTGTGTGTGTGTGTGTGTGTGTGTGTGAAAATTACATGTCTTGCCAAATTTAGCCCTTCAGAGCTTTTTCCTCTTGCTAAAGAGATTGTCGATGTGCTGGGGAAGCAGTAGGGTGAACCAGAGGGATAAAGCTGTATGTATGCATGGGAGTGAGAGAGTTTGAAGACCTTTTTCAAAACGGAGGCTACAAGGTCCTGGTAAGGCTGTACCATGAGACCTGAGATCTATTTCCATAAAGGGAAGAAGCTTGGACTCTCCGGTCCAAGTGCCCCTTCTCACTTTTGGGTGAAGGAAGGAGCAGGATATCATTGATCTGACATAGGAAACGTTGCCGTTGCCAGGTACTCCTTGTTTATTCCCACAACCCCCAAATTCTGCTGCTGTTCTCTGACAAATTAGTCTCATTGCCCTCAACTCTTTCCCCAATTGCCCTTTGAAACTTCTGGTCACCAACCAGCAGCAGACTGGATTGTTGTACTCCCTAGCAATCATTTGGCTGGTGTGTTCAGCCTATCCTTTTCCTCCTATGGTTTGTATGAATGGGGAGGGGAAATGGAACTGAGCCATGGATTTTTGGATCTTCCTTGAATGATGGAGTGGGCTGAAGTTAGGTGATGGTTCCAGAGATTAGCCGATGTAATTCTGTTTTTTTGCCTTGGATCCGTAGGTTACCAGTTGCTGCCCCCATGAAATGGAGATTGAATTAATAGTGGAATTGAAGTTTCAGTTCAGGATTTTGAGGTGAATTTGTGTGAAGAAGAAGGTGAAGAAAACACTCAATTACAAAAGAGAAGAGAATATCCATTTGTCTTGCTTATTCTTCATTCCCTATTTTTTGCCATGAAGAGAAAACAGAAAAGATTTCTGCAAATGACACTGCTATTCCTGGTGACTCTAATATTCTTGCCAAATATTGGACTCTGGTCTCTGTATAGAGAAAAACATTTTATGAAATCCACAGTTCTGGGAGAGCAGCAGGTAAGTGAAACAAATGTGATCAAAAGTGGCCGGCAGCAAAGCAAATTGTTTGTGTGTTAAGTAGGGAATGAAAGCATGTGTTTAACTGCTATAAAAAGCTGGGATGGCTCTTAGCAATGATGCATCCTTTAAATTTGAATCTTTTGTTGTGGGAATACTGAATTCACTCTAGGGAGCCTGTGAGGCAGAGGATTTTAAATTAGCTTCACTATTGATTAAAACAAACTAGAATAATGATGGGATGAGATAGAAAACAAGATTGTAGAACTCCTGCCTAAGTATAATATGAATCATGAGCATCAGACCTATTAATTCTGTTTCTCATAAGCCATAACATATTGTTTCAGGTGGAACTCAAAGTTTATAAAGTGAATGTATATATATTTGACTGTATTTTTCGCCTAGAAATCTGCTGAAGCATGTAGAATGCAGCTTAAAGCTGATACTACAATATAAATATAATTATATAATGTAATTATACATTGATCAATAATCATAGTTTTTAGAAGTGGTCTTATGATCCTTACTAGTTTTGTTATTGAATAAAACATATTAGGATGATTTTCTGTCTTCCTGAATTGTTCCAAAGAAATAAGTCAACCTGGAAGTTGATTGTCCATTTCATTGCAAAAATCCCCTGCCTGGAAAACTTCAGTTGGATTTGATTTTAAATGCACTACAGCCTAATCTTTTTATTCAGAATATTTCTTTGTTTTTTCCTGCTAGAAATGGATTTCGTCTCTTTGATAATCAATTGCTTTATTAACACTTCCAGTTATAAGGTCTTTTGTCACACACTATTGTTGCTGTGATGTTATACTACACAGAAAAATATGTTTGTAGGCGTGCATATAGAAACACACACACATTGTTTATGGGCCATTCTATCTTCTTGATGTTATAATGTTCTCCAAGTACATCTCGTTTATGATTCTCTTTGTTATCTGAGATTAATTGTTGCCATATTTTTCAGTTTATGAAGCATACCTTTGACATTTAAACCAAAATGAGATTTGCATTAAAGTAAGTGCCTTTGATAGAGTTCTTTTATGCAAGTTTAAATTGCTTCTAATAAGTAAAAAGGTGTAATTATAAGACCAGAACAATGTTAACTGCAGAATGTTCTCTTTAGATTTTAAACAACTTTAAGCACAGAGATAATAAAATATTATTTTTTATATCAAAACAAGACACTATCACCATATAAATCGTTATATTGTTTAATTTCAAGGGCTATCACTAAAATATAGTATTTTTCCACATATTACATGATCATAGATTATTTTGGTCAATAAGAGTTACATTTCTGCATGTGGTTGATAGCATGCTGCCAACATTGACTAAATATATATATCTACTGGTAATTAGTTCAATTTTAAAGTGCTCTGAGACTTGGTACTATGTAAAAAGATTTACTTTTATAAGCAATCAGTTTTTATGAGGTGTTTTTTAAGATTACATTCAAGACTTAAAAGTATTTTACAGCAAATATATTTATAGGATGTTTACTTGAAAATAACTCTCGCTGAGTAGTGCTAATTGCCTAGTAACTATGATAAAATGTGTGTGTGGTTCATTGCATGAGAATATAAAGAATATAAATATAGTAATATAGTAATACAGTAAATAACATTTAAACTAATTTTTAAATCATGATCTTTCTATTTGTTGTCCTTCAGGTGTGCTGGCTTATACTCCAGTCTCCATTGCCCATTAGAGAAAGCTGGGTAGGATTTAGGAATATTAGCTTAAGAGAATCTAAGAGTATGAACTACAATTCTGAATGGCTTCTAAATATCATATATTTTTAATTTCTAATCAACTGTCAGCCCAATCCTATGCAGTACGTTCTGCTGCAGCTTATACGAAATATGTCTAGAATTGCATTGGAAAGTATAACACTAACCAGAAGAAATATTTATACCAGAACTCTAACCAAGTCTAATCATAACAGATTAGGGATAAGGGGCCAATAAACACAGCATTTTTTAAAAAATGGGTCATGAAGGAAAATGAGGGAGTTTGTATTGGGGAGGGCTAGATGCCATCATTTCAGTTGACTGGACTTGTCGCCTGGCCCAGTATAGAATTTCCTGCCTGAGCAGGGGGTGGACTAGAAGACCTTTCCAACTCTGTTAGTCTGTCCTGTTAATGTCTTGAAGTTTCTATGAATAAATTAAAGCAATATATGTTGAGAAATTGCAGCAATATATATGGAGAAATCAGGGCTAATGAGAAATCAGGGCTAATGAGATTCCTAGAACATGTATTATCTAAATAACTTCATGGTTTATTGATTTGATATTACAGCAAGAGAAAAATAGTAAAATAAGAATGTAAAATGGCACAAAGTATGTGTTCAGAGAATTCTGCTTCAGTTGTGCAGATAGATATTTATTGTAGCAAGCGGGAATCAAATAAGATATAGCAATGCTCATTTTTATCTGTAAAGTATATATTTTCCATGACAAATTACTAGTTTCATGTGACCTACTTTGTAGGAGTGCAAGTAATGGAATTTGGATTCTAAGACTCTAGATATTTACATAACATAATTTATTTATGTTTTAATTTCAGGAAAAATGTATATCAGATTACGGTGCCAACATTTCCTGAACTGTTATCATTTTAGTTGAGTGGGATGATATCTGATTTAAACATTAAAATGCACTTAAATAGGTTTAATTTGCATCTCAGCTCTATAAAGTTTTTTTCCCTACATTACAGAATAGAGCTTTGTAATTTTAGTTAAGAGCATGCTATAAGATACTGAATCAAGCACATTGTAGGTTTCTACTGAAATATGTAATCCTACAACCATTTACCTGTTTACTTAATCAGATTTAAATCAGAAGTAAGTCTGATTAAAATCAGTATATTTCAATATACTGATTTGAGAAAATGTGTACATGATTGCAGTATAAAACAGCATGTGAAAAGGATTGGTAATATGTTAGCTGTTGGCTAAATTATATATGATTTATAATTAACAAACTTGGAATCAAATAGATTTAGTGGGCATATCAACATTGACACAACTGCTCTAGAGATAAAACCTATATATACTGTATTATAACTAACATTAATATTTAGAAATTCTAACTTCTGTAGATTTCTGACATGTTGACTAAAATTTTAAGAATATTTTTCATTTTGGTATGCCTTCCAACTTTTACACAGAACAAAATATACACATGAATGCTGCAAAACTCTACTTGGTTACTTAAAAATAAGACACATTGAACATTGTAGATCTTCTGAACAGGCGTATGCAACAAAGAAGATTTAGGCTGAAGTGTGAACAGATAACTTCTGCAGTGCTCTCTTTTGAATAGGTCTATAATTGTGTACTGTCAATATTTTTATTTATCGATTACATATTGGAATTATTTGCTGGATGAAATGCATGTGTGAACTGATACCAGACTATGTTAGCCTGATAATGTTAAAATCACAGAGAGATTGATTCTTAAATTAATCAGAAACAGCAAAGTGGCTGGTGGAGAGTGGAGGGGTGAATCAGACAATTAACATGTGGAAGGGTTATTCAAGGAGGGTAATGGGATTGGCTGGTAGTTGAACAAATTCTTTTTATTTATTTCCATCTTTGTGGAAATGTCACAATGTGCCACAAAATTGCTTTGGAAACATTTGAAGAATTAACACTTTGTAATAGCATGATGTAATTGTATAGATTTAAGTTATGCATTAAAAATAAAAGTGTTCATGTCCTAATGACATGTATTCCAGCATTTGTGAAATTGTTTCATTTATTTGTAATCATATATGCGTCTTATCCCTAAAGTCAACTGCTTGTTAGAAGATTGGAAAATAGCTATTACAACTTTCTTTCAGCCTTGCTTAATGTTTTCCTGACTTAACAGTCAGGGCAGAGTCAGGAAATCATAGGGCCATTAATGTGACATCTCTTTTGAATGATTAGTGACAAATTACAAGATAGTGGAAACCATGTTAGAGCCATATCAGCATGGCTTCTGCAAAGGGAAGCCTTGACACTCTAACATTTGAAGTTCTTGGGAATGTCAATAGACATGAAGATGGCATGCAATGGAAGTAATTTACAAGTAGCAAAAACACTGTAGAAAGAAGGAAATGTTGGTATACACAAAACATTTATGCTGAACTAATAGCTCAGGAAATTATATAGTATGATAGGAGATAAGTTTGCATGTGACCAAAATATTCAGAACATTCAGTCGAAATGTTTTTTATCTAGGGATGCAAATAAAATAAAACAATACCATACAACTTTATTAAAGGATGTTTCAGGACTTGAGCAGGAGATAATATTTAAATGGGAACTAAATTGATTTCTGCTAACTTAATATGAAAACTAGAAGATACCTATACTGTTGTCATGCAGTTATCAAAGAAAGACATTACAATACATAAATTGGATTAACTAAGCATTAAAATGGACTTGCAGTAATTTATGTATCAAAATAAAAGCATAATGTACTAAGGAAAATTGTGGCAAAAAATTAATACAATATTTATGAAAATTTGCATGAAAATGAAAACAAAGATCAATGCTAGTTTTCCATACTGGGGTTTTTGTGGTTGAATATATTTGAAGAGGATCACATTAAATAAAAGGATCAGCTTAAATAAAAGTTGAAGTGTTACGTTATGCACAACAAAAATAAGTAGCAATTGGTACAGAATGCAGTAGTACAAGTAGGAGTATGTTACTGTCCCATGGTTACTTGTTGGCTTCTAGAAGATCGTTATCACCTTTAAAATCCTTCTGGGCATGGTACACTCTTTAATCTTATTCATCAAACAGTGATATCTTGTGGGATCCAAAATGTGCTCCCCAAGATTTATGTGGCTCCTTTCCTTATGACATTCTAGAAATTAATTAAAGCCTGTTTATTCTCCCAGCCCTTAAAACAGAGCAGTTGTGGAACTCCTTTTAGTTCAATTTAATGTGGTCTATTTTAAAATTGGCTGTTGATTCTTTTGCTTGGCTGGTTCTC